GTTGGAACTGAGGAGCTCCAAATCTGCGCGGACACTGCCTATATCTTCGTAAATTGCAATGGATTTCGTATTACATGTCAGTAGCTTCTGATCTTAAGTTTCATGCTATAAGCGTTCGGGTATCTCAAACCTCGTAATTTCATCTTTACAGAAATTTGCTTCTATACCAGCCTGAGAGAGATCAATATCAGTCTGAACTTTTACGTCTCCGGCTCACAAATCTCAATGGAGATGACGGATCACGCAGACATCCGTATTTTGGTGAGTGTTTGCTGGAGAGTAACTGAAGTGATTCCATAGAAGAGATTTTCAGGTTCAACGTTGTTACCAGATGATAGTGTACCCGTCAGGCTTACTTCTGTTTATGGATTACCGCATCTTTTGAGATTATTCGATTGCTTTGCTGCAAAATTGGCAAACTTACCCGCGGACTCCGGGAACATCTTGGTACGTCAAGGTGAAACATCTTGTTTTATCTAATTCATATTGATTTGAAATTTAGGCTCTGAAAGTGATGTCATCGGATTTTGTCTCATTTCTTGAAGAGAACCGGGAGAAGTATTTCAGCGTTCGAAGAGACTATGAAGCACAGGAGTAATGTTTTCAATGCCTTCTGGTTACCTCAGTTACATCCTCCGGTATTGTTGCATAACTTATCGTATCCGGTGAGCGCAAATTTCTTCAGTAATTACATTAAATCTGTATGTTTTCGTTGTTATCACTAGGTCGTTCTCTAGATCATGGATCTCATATGAACCTCTTGAACTTTTTTCCCACTTTTTGTTATGTGTAAAATTAAATCAAACATCAATAAATCTCTTTATTATGCGAATCGATCAAAGAGGACAACTTTTGCTTGTATAATACAAATAGCTAGAATGTTGGATTTGGTAATAAATGCGGATGGAGCTCATCGTCAGTCACAACCTAAGGCGATTCTTGTGCTTGAACAAGCAGCTCGGAAACTAGCTTGTTCTTAACCTCCTCGAAATCTAAAGTAAATTTGTGTATAACAATACTTTCCTGATCAAGTCCTTCATTCCTGGTCAGAGACCAGCGAAACTTACAGTTTTTGGCATTAGTGCCTGTTTCTTCAATATATGCTTCGTCAAGGTCGACAATTTTTGGTTGTCCGTTGTCTAGCACAATCTGACAAGTATTGTTATCAAGTACACTCTGATTCAACGGGATTGGCAGTTGGAAGGCGACCGCTCACGCCCGCGACGCAGCCTGCGTCTTTCTCGCAAGCGTGCTCTCTGACCATTCTCTAGCCTTGCTTAGGCTTTGGAGTCTCGCCTTTCAGTCGCCAATTCCGTTGTATCAAGATAGTTCAACCCATCCCCACGCCTCCCATACCTTCGGTACAAGGCTAAATAACCAACCTGTTGTCTTCTAAGGTCATGAATCCTCAACGTTGGATTATTTGCAAAGATTCTCAGCAGTTCATGAAGGATATGTACTCTTTGCAAAGTATCCAATTGCAGTAAGTGCAGAACATCCAGTGGTATACCTCTTTCCGTCACAATATTTACATTTTCGAGATCTTCCAATGGATTGCTGGGGATACAGTATGAAATTATCTGAAACACGATTATTTTCAGTCTCGATCAATTGCTTGAACTCTAGTATTTGCGCCTCCGCATTTAAGCTTAGTGGTTCTATTTTGCAGAAAGGTCATTGCCATCTTTGGACATCTAGTGGAAAATAATTTTAGACACTCATAATGTCTCTGAATTTACAGTGGCTGGTATTGATACTTTCAAAAAGGCGATCGTGCCCTTTTAGCAGCCAAAGCAAAATTCCTTGTTAGGATGATACAAACTGAACAAAACGCAACTTACATTTTCTCAACTGGAGATGCAAAAAATGCGAAAGCTTCGATAATTTGTAAAAT